TGCACTATTACAACCCCCCAGTGGGGGTGAGATGGGTCAAAAAATAATTTTCGCTGAAACTTCTGCTATGGGGGTTATCGAGGGTCCTGATCACGAATATGACATCCATTTTTGGCGCTGGCGCCAATTGGCGCCACAACTGATTATCACCAAATTCGCTGTAAACTTCTGTATAGGGGTTATTTGGGGCCCTGATCACGAATATGACACTCGTTTTTACATTCGTGCTGTTTAACGCATATTTTCTGCTTTTCTAAGCTTTCTCACCTATAGCGCCTAAGACTAAGCTTAGGGGAGGGGAGTGAAACTCCGGAGTGGGTAAACCACGCACCGTGTGGCAAAAGTTGGAGTGTGTCAGACCACAGGGGAGTGGCCTACTCACTTTGGAGCCCTCCACTACTCAAAGGCTTAGTCCTGATTGCGATCTAATTAGTGCGAGGGCGCAGACGAGCAGGAAGCAGGCGCCGAATAGCGCTAACAACAAAACGAATGTCATATTCGTAATCAGGACCCCAAATAACCCCTATACAGAAGTTTACAGCGAATTTAGTGGGAATCAGTCGTGGCGCCACCTGGCGCCAAATGGCGCCAAATTGGCGCCAGCGCCAAAAATGAATATCATATTCGTGATCAGGACCCTCGATAACCCCCATAGCCGAAGTTTCAGCGAAAATTATTTTTTGACCCATCTCACCCCTCCTGGGGTTGTAATAGTGCAATAGTGCCTGAATTTCCTTTTTTTTATCCCTTCCTCTACATTTCTTTCTAGAATAGACTAAATTTTATTGTTTTTCTATGAATATTTGGAATCATTTCCTTCCTCTCTGAAGGTGTCACAATCCAACAATTACTCGATTTCGACTCCTTTTTTCGTATACATTTTGTGATCTTGACTGACTAACACATGCGCAATAATTATAAGCCGTCGTCATAATTAATGCCCTCGTGGTCCGCATTTTTCTGTCGATGTTTCATCAATACTTCGTTCGTGAGAAAATAGTTGACGTCATAAGATACTTTGGTTCATCTTTGTGTCATCACTACTTCATCGATGTTTTTTTTTCGCTCATTCGCCTTATTTTCTCGCTGTGACGTCACTGCCTATTTTGACATTTTTCCAAATGTCACACCTTGATTTTCAGGATGCAAGAGGAAGATTTATTGAACAGTACGAGTATCGAAGGTGAAGGCCTACCAGTGGTACCGTTCCTACCACCCACAGAGGAACCCTCGTCAGCGGCATTGGCGCTTTCTGTGGCTCTAGTCGGATGTTTGACAGTCGCCATATGTGGAAATGCTAGTCAGATCGTTCTGCAGGTACTAATGATAACCTTTAGTCTTTGAGAAGATATTAGTAATGAAAATATGTCCTGAGGGATTATTTGATTGATTTCTCCATGTCAATGGGAAGAATGGGAACACTGGCCTGGTTTCAGGTCAATGTGGGAATTGTATGGATTAGATGCTACCAGCTTTTTTTGTCGATATCGTCATGTGCATTATTTTGTCCACAACCTCACTATCAGAGGCGAAACTGACTGCTTCCTTTTCTGAAACTCTAACCTATGTTCCAACCCCAATTTTGAAACTGCGCTATCCATCACACTGTCTGAATTCCACGGTCCAACGAGGACTTTTCTCCAGCTTCATCTACGCTACAGTACCCTAAAGCCTTTCGCTTAGGTGAAATAGCAAACGACATTCAGGATCAAGGCGCCCGAGTGGCCAAATTTTTTTCAACATAAATACACATCGAATAAATTTTTAGATGAAATTCGAGACATGGCGTATCTGATAAGACTGATTTATGGAAGCGATGAAGCTTTCTGATACAAAGCTTGAATATGAAACATAGAAAATGGGTGCCGAGGCCCTCCAAAACTGTTTTGGAGGTTTTCGTTCATAAAGGAGTTTCAATGCTTCGATGGAATTTTCTGGCATCATTAGCCGAAACCACTAGAATTATTTGATTGCCAACTGTAGTGCTCAGTATGCAAGAGCTACGGGTTCGGCCCTTCGAGGCAAAGTTTGTGCACCCATAAGTAACACTATGATTTTAACTCGGATATTACGTAGTTCTCATCGGACAACCAAAAAATCTGCTTGCCTATAAATCTCGCGATCTTCGTGTTTATTATGGCAACGGATCCGGCTGCATAGTGATGCTCGGGAAGGGCTCAGGCTTGCAAATCGCTTTGCAAAGTGACTGTCGTTGCATAACATATTGCTTTGCCTAGAGAATTTATTAGGACTTAAGGAGTGATCACGATAATAATGTATGCTATACGAAGTTATTACGATTCACAGAGTTGAGGGACCGGCAAACTTCCTGAGGGGCGGACTGACGCGCAACTGGCACCGAAAGATTTGACCTGGACGACCTGGCAGCGCTCATTCCTGGCGCAGTTGGCGGGGTCCGCCCACTGACCATCTAATCACTCGCCGCAGGTCTATACGTGGCGATTGACTTAGACAGCAGAGGGAGCGTAGGGAGAGTTGAAGAGGTAGCGATGAGAGTCGCATATCCCATTTCTCGGGTTCTGGGCCGTTTCTCATGGTTTTTCCTTCTTTCGTGTACCACTAACAATCCCTAAGTTTGTTTAAAATGTCTTGCGCTTTTCCATCGTTAATTCTGTCCCTTTAACTGTTACAGCCCTTGAGGAAATCAAAGGTTTCTCCTCGATATATTCCAAGCTTGAAATCAATCGCTTCTGACATTCATATTTCCTGCGTGTGCCCATGCTGTGACTATTCAAATAAATAAATGTAATAAATGAATAACTAATAAATAAATAAATAAGCATATATGCCTTTTCCAGAGCTATTAAGGCGACAAGTGAAGTTAATTTTTTTCAGATCTACACCAGACGTTTAACATGGAAAATCCCACCGCAGTGTTTCATAGCAATTCTTCTCTTCATCAACTTTCTTGTAAGTCATTCATTCGTTTCAAATTCAAAATAATATTATTTATTATTATTATTATTATTATTATTATTATTATTATTATTATTATTATTATTATTATTATTATTATTATTATTATTATTATTATTATTATTATTATTATTATTATTATTATTATTATTATTATTATTATTATTATTATTATTATTATTATTATTATTATTATTATTATTATTATTATTATTATTATTATTATTATTATTAATTATTAGTTATTAACAAAACCTTGCACCAGCGGGTCAAGAACCCTTCGCCTCCGACTTTAAGCGGCATTCTTGTGAACCACTCGGCACGCGAAGTTGCGCCAACCAAGCAAAGCTAGTTACAATTATTATTATATATCACTAATATATTATTAATATTATTATTATAAATCAATTCAAAATTCAACTATTTTATTTACAATATGTTATTTATCATGGAAGGCCTTTCCGCAAGTCGCTCCCTGAGATTTCAGCACAATACGCTTCCACTCGTTCTCGGTATTCGCAGTTTTTCACCTTTTTTTTGTGAGCAAGTAGGACAAATGAGAGGTGTGATTCACTTTAGGATTAGATGCTGGCGATAGTGTATGGAGGTCGCATGAAAAGTTGACGTAAAGCTACGCCCGCAAATGATTCAGCGGTCTTTCTATGACAAAGCGGTATCTAGATAAAATTATTGGAGATTTTTACAGTAATAATAGCGATATTGCCTCTAATCTATTGCAGATTTGTTTCATAAATTATCCGAACTTGATTTATGTTGTTTATGATACGGTAGGTATTTGAAAAATTAGCTTTGTTTTCATAAAAATAGCCGATGACGTCATTGTTCAAGGTGCTTCATTAGGCTCACCACCTACATATCACCCCTACCCCCTCTCATTCGGGATTGTATTAGGGGTCATTGTCGTCTGCAAGCTTCCCCAGGCTTCTCCGCGAGGATTCATTCGATACTATTATAGTTTTTTTGGCAGGATGAAAACGGAAACCAATTACGTCAAAGGCATATTCCCCGAAAGAGGAAGTGAAGCAAAAAGTTCATATGGAGCAGAAGCAGCTATTCAGAAGCAGCTATTCATTCGCGATAGCAAAATTTGAATGAAATAGTTGAAACAGGGCCTCCTTTTCCTGGACGATGGTCAGTCTACGAGGAAGAGATTCCATGAGAAACTGGGTGCCCAGGTGAGAGAACAGACTTGGGATGAGGAAGCATAGGGATGAGCGAGACGCAGACACTAACGCATTCACGATGGTGGACGGCACATAGGTGTGGGCTGCCCTTAGATGCAAGCTGCAAGTGATCAGCTCCTTAGAGATCACACCTTCAGAGACACGAAAGACTTATTAACTACCTGCGAGTTCAATGAACAGCTTTACATGGCGCGGTGAGAAACGGAGTAACTAACCATGCGCTCAATCCCGTGGTCGAATCCTGGATCGAGTTTGGCCCGTATCAAGCAAACTCACCATCATTCCAAATAAATTTACTGGTAACTGGCATGCTTGACAGGAGAGAAAACTGATATGTGCAGGCTAAGACAGGCCGTTCAAGCCACTGCATAGGCTCAGTTGTTCGTTTTCAAAGCCTCTACGATTTTTAATGGAAGTCGAGCGCGTGGCGCACCGCAGAAACACTTATTGATAAGCTTCACATCCTTGCCAATGCCGAATGCCTTACCTTGATCTTTCAAGACGAACATCTACTCAAGTTTGTTCACGACTACCAGTGAAAGTTGAAACTATAGCCCATTTGGAACAGTCTCAACTCTGAGGACCCTAAAAGTTTCATCTGGCACAACTGTTTGACCAATGATCCAAATTTCAGGTTCCATTAGGCTTACCGTCCGTGATCTTGGAGAAACTCGTGCGAATTTGGATGTTCGGACGATTGTCCTGTCATGCGCATCATATCCTCACAACTGCCGGACGAGTTGTCATACCGTGGACTATTGCAGCACTTCATGGGTTTGTGGTGAGTGCTGAAGGAGGCTAAGGTCTTCCCGACCCTTGTTCAAACTTCTTTTCAGGCACTGTCCCTCAGTCGACCGAATCGTCTAACGCGTATTGAAGGAGTGCTGGTAGCCATGTCGTTTTCCTTCTTGACTCTTCTCGTTCTGCTCATAGTCATTCCACAGGGACTGGCTGCTGAGGTGAATAAGTTTACTGAAAAGGGGGGTTTGTACAAATCATAAGGGGTGTTCTGGATATCGTGGTTGTTTTGAGAACTTCATTGATAAATAGCTCGGATGGGTCAGGAACTATTTTTCAGCTCAGGATGCCTAGGTTCAGCGTGGCTCTTGACTATGATTATTTTATATTGATTTTTCAATTGGACATAGTGCACTGAACCGCCGCGATACGCACAACCATTCAACCTTAACCCCGCCCGCCCTTAAAGAAGTCACTGCATGGGCTAAAGCCAGCGTTCAAATACTCCTAAGATCCAAAAATTGGCGCATGTGATTACACACTTCGGCAGCCGAGCGATCTTGAACGATTTGCGTGTGGTGAAGAGGCACTCCCGAATAGACTACCGCTCGGATCATTGACTGATCCCGGTTCTTTACGACTCCCTCCTCCAAGGCCATAACACACCTTATTAGCAAGGATTCCTTCAGCGCAACTCCGACCCGGTCGGAAATTCGGGAGGTTTTTTTCAGGCAGTGCTTCATTGTTTGGTGAAACTCTGTAGCTGAGCTGCCTGCCAGAGATTTGATTGAGCACTTTTATCTCTATAACAAAGTCCTTCATTGAACTATCGACAGTCAAGCTAACCACCCTGGCTCATCGACCCATCGGGATAGGGGAGAAGCCGGGGAATGTGGGAATGTGTAGGAATTGTCATTTGACGTGGCTCACCTGCCACGGCCAGATCCTAAGCCGCATTTTAGGCCACAGTCCGCTGTTACGTCTGAATAAGAACGGCGTTGCCCTGACGAAGTTTTTTGAAACCCAAGTCGCTGCGCAGCGTATCTCGCATTAGTGAGGATCGCAATCGAAGATTTGATCTATATTTAGAAGTGAGGCAGGTTGGTTTGGGCAAAATTTGTTCCGGGTTTGCTCCTGCACAGCGCGCATGGAGAATGGTTCTACTTACCATTATTCCATCTGACTACCGATAGAAGATCTCGATTTTCATCCGAATCTAGTGGCAATTATTTTTAAAGGGTTCTTCATAAGCACCCTGATTTTTCTGTGATATCTCGTAGGAAAATAAGTTTCCTCAACAAATCTCAGATCATGAAACTTTTCAGCTCGAACTGATCCGTAAGGATGAGATCGATAGCGAACAATACATCATGCTGATCCACACCTATCGATGTTACCTAAAGCCAGAATTGTATCCAGTGACGTATTTGGCGAAGTTCGCTTTCGAATTCGCTGTACCCGCTTGTGCTCTCCTGCTATTTCCAACTACTGATAACATCGCGGGCCAAGTTAAAGTCGAGTAAAGCGGTCTCGAGAAATTTGGTGAGTTCTGGAAATATCTGAAAATTAGCCGTGCACTGAAAAATCTAAAAGTCAGTTGAGGACTACAGCTGCAATTTAATTGGAGGGAGTGACTAGTTGCGCAGTGCAGTTGACTATCGGAGCGCAGTTGAGCACGCCCACTTGGCAGTTCGAATGCACATGCCATTAGGTCACGGCGCTCAACCTGCCAAAGTCATTTGCGCTTCCTTCAACTTAATTTCGTGTCAGAAAGATTATTCGTAATTGCTGTGACATTATCGTTCGCAATCGGTACACACCTGGAACACAACGTGCTTTAACAGTTCTGCTCTGGTAATTCGCCATGTACACGGTTCTGCACTTCGTAGTCGCATGTGGGGCAAATACTACCGCGCTTTTCGTTGGACTTTGCCAACGTAAAGTCAAACGCCAGTCTGTAGGCTCAATAGATTCAGCGCGCATTGGCAAGCGTGCCGCACAATGCGACCGCCAGCAGGGTGAAAATCGCTTGAGGAAACGACAACGGCTCGTCGAGGATTTCTTTCACGCTCTCCCACGCGGATGCTCACTCTCGCCAGCTGCGAGCCGTCTGTGCTCTCCGCGCATGCATTCACTCTCGACACTACTCTCGCACAGTAGAGAGCCATGGTCAAGGAATTCCTCGACCGTTATTCACCCTGCCGTAGTAATCTCTGTCGCGCGCCGTACGCTAACGGAATCACAACCCCGTTTTGAGCATTCATATAGCACATTCCCATTCCATTTTATTGATATTCCTTGTCGTTCAATCTTGCATTCTAACTGCAATCGCACTATTTTTGCAATGTTCTACATTATGTTCCGGAAGACAAACGAGTAAGCTGTCATGAACAATTGTAATTCTCCGTATTGATCGCTATTGATTTTTCTTTCAGCATTTCCTCTTCAGTGCCTTACCAGAAGATGCTGATCTACAACAACTGCTAACGTTTTTTCTCCACAGCATTGATTTGGTACCCTCTTAGCCATCTGTCTGCTAAACTCAGTAGATGCAATTCGGACAAAATCGAAGAAGATCAGTCGCGATCACGGGTTTTGGGACGAGCAACCGACACGGAACGTTCGCGTTTGGTGACTCCACAGGATCTTTGATGTTGATGTTTAATCGATTCTATATCGTATCGTTTCGGGTTCTTTTTCGATCCTCATATCTTCTAGTCGATGTGCTCAACTGATAAATAAAGTGATTTGCTGTTCTGAAAGTGTTGAAAAATATCCGTGGGGAAATATCCTCCCTAGCCCACGGACCGCTACAGGTATCTTTGGGGAAAACTTTCAGATGGCTAGTAAATAATTACCTTAATGATATTATGCGATGATCGCCTACTATTGAAGATTTTTCGCGTGAAAATTTTTGTGCCTTGAACTTTTTTGGAATGGATAACTCCAGAGGGAGAATTAGATGGGTTGGAAACTGGCCGTGAAGCTAAGAGTATTTATATTTTTGATGTAAAGTTTAGAAGATTAACGTCGGCGTTGAAGTGGCCATCCCTTCTACATACTTAAAATCGCAGTGGCTTACTGAAGGTGATTTGGTCTCTGCAATGACTTGCGGGCCAACGTGAACAACTCAATACTTCTATCCCCACAAAAAGGCGGTACCACTCAACCGACCCTGGAAGGAAGGAAGTCGAGATGACCTGGACAGCGTACGATCTAAATTCAGCCATTGGACGAGGGTCAAGCGAGGCGTTGAGGAAAGTTTTGAATTACGACCCGCACCCCGCCCATGGTCGGGCCTATCGTTGGCTACATTTTCCGAAAAGTTATACACCCCCCCTCGTCCCTATAAAATATTACGCTACACCCTTTCAAAAAGTTTTCATCCCGTCAAAACATTAAAATTCCCGACCTCGAGCGGGGGGGACATACACCCCCGGCAAAACTCACCGAAATTCTACAATTTCCATGTATTTTACCCCATTTCAACTGCTCATTTTCTAGGGGGAATATATACGCGCGCTGAAACGGCAAATTTTCTCCCGCTCCGCCCCACTCACATGCAACTTCTTACAACCGAAGCAAGTACGACCCCCCTCTACAAACTCATCAAAATACGACCCCCCTCTACAAACTCATCAAAATACGACCCCCCGTTGCTACTTGTAGCAACATAGGGTTGACCCTGCTCTCAGTCTGCTCAAGTTCTGAAGACGAGGCACCTGACCTGCCCCTTCAGTGGAACTTCTGTAGGAGTAGCAATTGGTGCCTGTAATTGTTAGAGAAAATGGCTTATTGTCGCTGGAAGTAAGAAAAGTAAAGTCAAGAAAAAAAAAAAAGTGCCAAACGGTTCAGGACTTTTCTTATCACCTACTAATTAATAAATTGGATTGAAATTGAATTATATCTAACTGACTATACTTTCCTCAACGTTGACTGAATATTTCAAGTCTGAAAGCAGATGTGGGAGTTCTGTGGGGGGGGGGGTCCTTTCAATTAGTGTTGAAGTCTGGACAAATTAATAAAAAACTAAAAATAATGTGTAGCTTGATTAACGATGAAAATTCTGTTGCCTGGAAGTTTTTACGAGGGAGCGCGCCAGTAGGCCATAACTGCTGTTCAAACCGTCCCATTGAAGTTAATATGACGAAGATATGGCATTAGAGATTTCTGCCTAGTGCCACAATTTGAACTGCTCTATACGTCGGATTTAAAAAATGGCCTTGTTGGGGATTTTTGCCTGCCGGTCGCCGAAAGGTTTTTTTTTTGCTACATTGGCACAATTTCAACTCCTATGGCTGCTTTCGGACGATTTTGTACAGAAATGGGAGCAGAGCCGGACACAAGGTTTTTTTTTCTTTTTCACAAGTGGCTCATATCCTTTGGCAATCTACTTCAACACATTATGTGTCTCATGAATTTGACACGCTAAAGCTGCATTTCTCTGTTGGATAGTGCAGTCTATTATGTAGCTTCCAAGGACGCCTCTTAGAATCCTTTTATTTTTCCTATATTGAGATTCTTTCTCCGGAGCCGTAGTTAAAGCGCGCGCAATCACCTGGGCCCACTCTGGGACGCGCCGTATGCTTCAGCATCCCTTTATATTGATGAGCTCCATTTGAAAGATAAAATATCCCCTTGAAAACGTGCGAATTTCGGATTCTTTAACTTGTGTGGTGATAAAACACTGAAGTAACTAAGAATTGCTACGCGGACACCTCTGAATCACGAAATTTTATGTGGGCGGAATAACATTGTTACTTGAAATCCTCTGGCCTTCCATGGCATCGATTCGATCCTTGATGTTTGTCCTCCGACAGTGATGATCCTACTGCATCATCCGGCCCGATCTCTTCCTCCCAGCGGGCCAATACGACCCCCCCCCCCCCTGTCGACGTGTCGAGGATTCCTCAACGCACGCGTGACCCTGCCCCGGATGTCGCGCGTCAGCTTGCGACCTGGCCTCCTGCCGCCATTACCCAGTCAAAAGAGTATATCAAGATCCGCACAACAACGAGAGCAAGCACCGATCCTGCTTAATAGAAGGTGCTGAAACAGCAAAATCGACATTCCTCTCCAAAACTTCTCGGGAATTTTTACATTTTTTGAACTTCCGACACTAAGTTTCCCCGTCGGCATGTCTTTCCAAAGCATGTTCTGCATCCATCCTTTCGAAATAACGAAATACGACTCCTCCCCCTATTCTCAACTTAACAGGCTAACTCTTTATTCTGTCACCTCTATCATCTGAGAAGTCACCTGGTCAGTGCTGATCTATGAGCCCTGCGCCGGGCACTCATTCACTGTCTTCGCTCACTTTAAGAAGTAAAGGATAAAGGAAAAAGCATTTGACGTTGATCAATACGTTTTTGGGATGCGGCACGCATTCTACTTCCATTTGTACATCGCAGTGGCATTGAATGCGATGTGGCCTATACAATGACTTGCGGGGCCAGCGATGTACAAGTCAGTGTTTTTATCCTCCCAGACAAGTCTGGTACCAATTAACCGACCCCGGAGGGATGGAAGGCTTGGTTGGCCCGGGCGACTCACGACCCAGGATTTGATCCCTGGACCGCTCGCGTGGTAAGCGTGCCACTTGCCACTACACCACTTCCGCCCTATGTCTGTAAAAGCAGAAGATAAAGTAACTAAAACAGTGGTACGCGAAAAAAACGATGAGAGAATTTGAGAGTGCCGTCATATCATATGTAAGCAATATCAGTGGATCGGATGACCCGTAATATGTGCTAATTTTCCACACTTTTAGCTCAACTGCGCCCGTATAACCCTTAGAGATCGAAAGTAAAGCCCTCCAGGATTTGTTTTTTTTTAATGATCTGGTTTCTTCTTAGATTTCACTATGATTAATTCTATTGTTATGTCCGAAACAAATCTGGCATCTCTCTTATTTGATTACTGAGCACATTTGTCGGCGCATGTATATCCCTACTATATATAATGCGCTATGTCTGTCTGTCCGTCTGTCACGAAATTCGGTATCAAGCGAACAACAACCTACAGGGTCCAGGTCAAGTTTGGGATGGGTATACCATATCCCTAGAAGTAAAAAACACACATCAGCCAAGCGGAGCCCCGCCCACAGTGGGCGTGGCGTGCATCGGACTGAGGATCCATGGATCCCAAATCCAGTCAAACAGCCTCGAGACTGGGGACAAAAGTGGGTGGTGGTTGTGCGGTGCAGCCCTAGGCATTATTGGGGAGACCCACCCTCGGTTGGCGGGGCGTTCTCTAAAAAAGCGGTGCTCAATAAAAATATCAATAACTAGGTTAGGAGGAAGCCTACAGAGCAGAAAAGAAATTAGTGCAGGGCAGCGATGTCTAAGGTATTTCCAGCACACATGATGTGAACGGAGGTCCGCCCACAATGGGCGGAGCGTGTCCTGAAGTAGACGACGTTTTCTACAAGAGCTCATAAAGTGGGCTGCGAGATGAATTTTTTTTTTTTTTTTTTTTTTTTTTTTTTTTTTTTTTTTTTTTTTTTTTATTTTTTTTGAGGATG